GCCCCTTCTTGAATAAAGACTTGATTAAAATTAGTTTTCTTAGGAAGGAAACGGTGTAAGATTTAACTTTACATCATCTTGAAAAACTATCTATTTTGGTATGTGGTGAAAAACAAGTTGGGGCAGCACCGAGTCCAACCGCAAAGAAATTAATCATCTGGATGAAACAAATTATTTATTTATTTATTTATTTTTTTATATATATACCAACCGGCCGTAATGAAAATGAGCTTAAATGAAAGAAAACTAAGTAGTCTATTTTTAGAACGTAAGAAGTAGAAAGTAGAGATAATTGCCAATAAATGTAAGGAGTAAAAGTAAAATGTTGTCATAAAAATAATTACTCCAGAAAAGTATAGAGAGACAAAACTTCTACTTAAGTAAAGTAACGAAGTATTTGTACTTTGTTACTTGACACCTCTGGTCTCTGAGCTAATCTACACTCTTTTGATTTTAAACAACAAATGTAGAAGATAAACATAAAATAAAATAAGGATACACCCTTCAATCCGGATGAGTAACTCTAATAAAAGCATTTGTAGAAGATATAAAACATCATTGGAAACAAAGACATAGATGGAAAAGCAGCATGTGGGATTTGCATAAACTGCAGCCTGTGGCGGGATCGTCAGTAAGATAGGCTGGTGGTGTTTTATATGTGTATGTGTGTGATCTGGTGTCTGAAGAAGTTTTGGATAACACAGCTTAAAAATCTAGTCTCCAATTTTTTTCCTACCAAGTCTGATTATTTAAATCGTTTTTCTACTCTTAGTTTCATGATAAAAAAAATGACAAATGATGTCCATTACTTTCAAAAACTATTTTTTTATTAATCATCCCCTCTGGGCGGTGAACTCAAGCTGTGAAACATGTACAACTAACTAAAGACAGACTGATACGGCCGGCTGATATTTTAGCTGATATAACCATTTTTGTCTTGTATCGGTATCAGCTGACACATGCATAACATTCGATGATTAATTAACGCATTCAGCAATTATGTTTTTAGATCAAGTAAAGTAAAATGTCTGCTCGGAGTAGACTCCATATTGAGAGGAATTATGAGCTCCATCAGGAGGTTTTTCCAGGCACATTCCACCAGGAGGAGGCCCAGAGGATGATCAGGATACGCTGGAGGGACAAGGTCGGTCGGCTGGCATGGGGGGAACCTCTGGCTTCCCCCAGCAGAGCTGGAGGAGGTTTCTGGGGAAGGGGAAGTCTGGGAGTCTCTACTGAGACGTCTGCCCCTGTGACCCAGTCCTGGATGAAGGGGGAAACAACAACGATTACTATTTTAAAGTTATTTTGTACAGGGTTTAAATTTCTTGTAGTGTTTTGCCAATGGAAGTGGTTGAAACATTGCCCTGCCCGGATGGATGGGATCCATGGCAACTTCATATCTTCCTCGCTGACCAATTTGTTGTGTTTCTTGCTTTCCTTGATACTGTTTTTTCCTCAGAACAGTTCTGTTTCTTTTAACTTAAAAAAAGACATAAACAAAAAAGTTTTCAATTAAAAACAAAATACATAGAGATGTTTTAATGGTCATAAATACCTTTGCAAAAACACGGTAAGATTGTAAGACGTTAACTGTGATGTAAATCTTCTCTAATTAGAAGTAGCGTCAACATGATCAGCAAATGAAAAAGCTTTCAGACTGCAAAAGAAAACTGGCTCAACAGCAAAATATGCTTTTTTTTGGAGCAATGGCTAACAAACTTTTATTCTTGTTCATAAAAAGAGAAGAGGAGGACGCAGGGTTATTATGCAATATCTTAACTAGTTTATCCTTAAATTCAAAACAATAAAAAACTAAAAACTAACTCTATAAAACAGGAGAAATTAGAAACTACTAAAAATGTTTTATATGTATTCAAATCAAGCGTATTTTTCCCTTTTCTAACCATGCAAAGGTAATTTCTTATTCATAAAATTAAGATATATAAATAAGATTTTATCATGAACCTTTAATCCATTATAAGCAAAACAGAGTAGCTTAGAGAGAATAAATATGTTATATGTCTTCTCAGAAATTTGAATAATGCAGTGAGAGGAACTGAATAGCGTCTAAAACAATTGATGTTGCTTTGGTTCTTCTTTCGTCTTGTTCTTTCTCAGAAATAGTCTGCATTGTGTCACATCCTGCTGCTTCTGATGCAATTTATACTTCTGTGGTTGCGGGAGGTTTTACGTCATTGTGGTGATCATAAAAAACTCTAGTATTGATCAAAAAGTCATGCGTTTTCGACCTTTTTCTTTTTATTAATAGCTTTAACTGACATGATGCCACATTTCCTCAGCAGTTCTGTGAAACTAATGACTAACTGGAGCGACTCTGTTGCAGCCAATCAGAAGGAACCCTGCAGTGATACCTGGAGTTTTGGTCTGTAGGGAGACTCAAACCCAGTCTGTGTTCTTTCCTGCTTCTGCAAATTTGCGTCTGAAGATCCTTGACAGAGAAGCTGTCATCACTGAACAAGTGGCTCGAAAACAGCAGCTTCCCATTGAGGTACATCTATAACACAACAGAAATACAACATTATAGATAGATAGATAGATAGATAGATAGATAGATAGATAGATAGATAGATAGATAGATAGATAGATAGATAGATAGATAGATAGA